ACAGAGATAGTCTGTCCTGGAGCCAGCAGCCTCCTGCTGTTTAGCCCTGTGTCATGTGTCCAGGACTAGGAGTTAGGAGACCCCTGCACACACACTCTTTATAGGGCAAGTTACTTGAACTGAGTCTCTGCTTTCCCATCTGTAAAATGGAACAGTATGTACCTTCCCAATTAACCAGTTTTCAGTGGAAAAGGCTGCTGCGAACAATGTTTTGCCCGACACAGTAAGTGCTTAATGAAATCCTGGACTGCCTAATTTATATCCTTACGTGGATTACCGATGGGTCAGAGGCCACAAACTGGGAAGCCTGTGGAGCCCTGGTGTGTTTAGAAGTCTCTGTGGCAAATTCTCGAATGCATGGCTTGTTCCAAACAGACGCTGCCACTCAACTCCAACCCACTGTTGCCCGTGGGGCATGGTCCCAGTGTTGCCTGATATTCAAGTTTTTCAAAAGAAGCTGGAAATCTGATTTTTAAAACATTATGTAATTTCTTTATTTTTCAATGTTGATGATAATTTACAGACATTTCAAAGCACTGTGCAGAGCATCAGAATACGTCTGTTAGCTGGACTTGGCCTTTGGGTCACTAGTTTTTGAGCCCCACATGGATTAATAGAGAAAACTTCTGAGTTCCCCATGGACCACGTAGCTAACTATGCCTTAGATCCTGGTGAAACATACGATGGGCGCACTTAGAGTTGAAATAAAACAAAGTGAAAGCAACGAGAGAAAGCAGCACCCCTCCCCGGTTACTGCTAAACACTGCAGGTTTATTGGTCACAACCAGGCTGTTCAATGTGATATCCAGTCACCTAATTGTGACTAGAAGGGAACTGGGAGGTCCTTAAGCTCAAACTGCCATGCTCAGAGATGCCCCTGGGTTTGCCTCCATGCCTGTTTGGGTTGGGACCAGGAGCCAAGGCAAGTCTCTGTTCTCTGGGGCTTTGACCCCATAATCTTGTCCCTTCAACTAGACCCTTAAGTACTGTGGGGCAAGGACCTTACTTAATATGGGGCCCTTGGCCTGGTGCGGTGGCTCAAGCCAGTAATCTCAACACTTTGAGAGGCTGAGGCAGGCAGATCACCTGAGATCACGAGTTTGAGACCAGCCTGGCCAATGTGGTGAAACCCCATCTCTACTAAAAATACAAAAATTAGCCAGGCATGGTGGCCCATGCCTGTAATCCCAGCTACTCGGGAGGCTGAAGCAGGAGAATCGCTTGAATGCAGGAGGCAGAGCTTGCTACACAGCACTGTAGCTTGGGTGGCAGAGTGAGACTCCATCTTAAAAATAAATAAATAAATTAAATACATAAAATAAAATTTCAAAAAATGGTCCTCTTCACACAGTGTGCCCAGTGGACAAAGAACCCATCATCCCCTCATGCCACTTGCCAGTCAAAATTCTCCAAAGAATTTAGAGCTAAAAGCAATTACTTCTCCAGAAAATCTTATATTGTGCTCCTATTCAAAGCTTTTAAAAAGGCAAGGTGGCTAAAATACAAAAATTGGCTAACATTGTTTCTCCCTGTGCTTCACCAAACTGCCAGCCCAGTGGCTATCTGGCTTTCTCTAATCAACGTTACTTTTTTCCTGAGCAGGAAACGGGCTATTTATGTGTATTTCTTAAGCGTGGGCCCTCCCCAGGGTCTGACTTCCCAAAATAGCTGCGTTTTCAGAAACATTGTTTACTTTTAGAAATGGACTACCTGGAACGAAGGCTCATTAGTGATCTCTGTCACCCTGTTGAGAACAGAATGTGGGGTGGATGTCCCACATTCCTGTCCCACACTGTGTGCTTTCCATCAATCAAGTGTAACTCCTCAGAAATTTGAGGCGACCTAGAGAGGCAGCCAGGTCCAAACGGCACAGCCCCCGGAGGACACAGTGAGGCGTCTGGAAGAACAGCACACTCAGCACGCTCGGGGAGGTGTGGAGGGAAGCGCTCCGGCAGGCAAAGAGCAGGGGCTCCTAGCAGCTTCGGCTTCCCTCTCTTAGGCTGCTTCTCCCTTTGCTTCCCTTTCCTTGGGATGCTCCACATATTTGGGATGCACATGTAAATTACTGCATGCCATCATTTATTCAAAGAAAATCCCAGCATAATTTGGTCAAAGAGTTACAAAGTTGTGGCCGGACGCGGTGGCTCACACCTGTAATCCCAGCACTTTGGGAGGCCAAGGCGGGCGAGGTCAAGAGATAGAGACCATCCTGGCTAACACGGTGAAACCCCGTCTCTACTAAAAATACAAAAAATTAGGCGGGCACCTGTAGGCCCAGCTACTGGGGAGGCTGAGGCAGGAGAGTGGTGTGAACCACGGAGGCGGAGCTTGCAGTGAGCCGAGATCACACCACTGCAGCCTGGGCGACAGAGCGAGACTCTGAGTGTAGTGGTCTGATACTGAATTTTTTTTTTTTTTTTTTTTTTTTTTGCAGTGGTCTGATACTGAATTTTTTTTTTTTTTTTTTTTTTTTTGAGATGGAGTCTCACTGGGTCGCCCAGGCTGGAGTGCAGTGGCGCCATCTCGGCTCACTGCAAGCTCCGCCTCCTAGGTTCATGCCATTCTCCTGCCTCAGCCTCCCGAGTAGCTGGGAGTACAGGCGCCCGCCACCTTGCCCTGCTAATTTTTTTGTATTTTTAGTAGAGACGGGATTTCACCGTTTTAGCCAGGATGGTCTCCTTCTCCTGACCTCGTGATCCACCTGCCTCGGCCTCCCAAAGTGCTGGGATTACAGGCGTGAGCCACGGCGCCCGGCCAAGAGTTACAAAGTTTTACACTGTTAGCAAAGATGATCCTTTAAGACTGTTTTTAAAAATGTGACTTTCGTTTTGGGCACATGGTAAAATATTTCAAAAAGCACTGAAGGATATGAAACAAAAAAGTGTTTCCTGTCTTCCTTTACTGCTGTCAGCAACACTTCCCAAAGACACCCACTGTTAATGATGTCATATTTATATTTCCATCTTATTGGAAGCATATGTGTGTGTACAAAATATTGTCGTTTTTGCAAGCAGGGCCATACAATATACACTGTTTTGCATTTTGCCTTTTTCAACTAAGAAAATATTTCCTTACCAGCATACATTGTTTTTCATGACTGTGTAGTAATCTGTTTATGGATATGCCATAATTAACCATTCTAGTATGGGTGGACATTTAAATTAATTCCTGCTTGGGTCTATTACAAAAAATTCCAGAGTAAATCATGTTTTGTTCACATCTGTAAGTATATCTGTAGCATAAACTCCTAGAAGTATAATTGCAGGTCAAAGCCCATGTACCTTGAAATGTTCACAGCGTAATTCCATATTGCCCTCTGCTGTCACAGGAGTGTTGCAATGTTTGTGGACTTAGCAGAATCTCGAAAGTATGGGCTGTCAATGTATTCATCTCTTAGTGAAAAGACAAGCACAGTTTCAGGTCTTGGACTCAGGAGAACATATCTGAACGGACCACCTTAAGACAGACCCTGGAAAGCAATTGGCTTTTCTAACTCAAAAAATACATGCTGTATTAATGAATGGATGAGTCATGGCAGGGCCCATAGAGAAGTAACCAATACATTTCTCGGTTCAATTTTGCATCAAAAATAAAAAGAAATAATTATTATTTACATAAATAAACATAAGCTTTAATCAGTTTCATTGCATTCTTATGCTAACAGGACAGATACATAGTTTGAGATAAGTAAAAAAAAAAAAAAATGTTCAAAGTCCTAACAGTAGGTAGGCATTTTAAATGGTCAATTAAAATTTCTGTTTCTCCTATTTGCTTTGAATGCTATTTGGCTTAGAGTTACCATATTAATACTAACATACAGTTATTTCTAAAATACACGTTTGATGCTTTTTATTTTATGAATTTCATTCACTTTTTTTGAAAAGCTTTTTTTTTTTTTTTAAGAGTTTGGAAAAGATACATAAGTCTCCTCATTTGTGAGTTGAGGTGTTAGATCTACAGGTTCATTGAGGTCCACCTGGCTGTAATAGGAAAAAATCATCAGCCTCTAGTTCAAGGGAATAATCTGTGTCTTCAAAATTACAGGGGCTTTGTGTTTCAGTTTTTTCACCTTCAAATGAGGATATCTAGTTGCTTTGCACACATGTGAAGGGCAAATATCAATAATTAGATAGGCTTTAGCAAAAGGAGACTGTTCTTCGATAAACAAGCAATTCTGTTTTTCTGCATCCCCCACCCCAGCAAAAGTAGTTTTTTCTACAGTGTACAGCTATTGAGAGGATTAGTTCTATTTTCAGTAAAATGTTACCAATTTGGAAAAGTCACAATTCCAGTGGCAGTTCTTAAATGTACTTTTCTAATTAACTTATACTTAAAGAGTGCTGGAACTCACTTTTATAATAAAATTTAAATTAAATATCAATGTAATCAAATAACATTAAATTAAATATCAATGTAATCAAATAACACAAAACATAGCTTGACTTTGTGTGAGGCTCATGCACTTGAGTCCATCTGATGAGGGGCTAGGGAAGAGTCAACTGTATCAACTCAGACAAAAGGGAATTCTACAGTTGCATTTCCCAAGTCTCACATTAGTCAAGTAAAAACCCCAGATTAATGATTAATCCCCCCACCGTCAGCTTTCTGAGAAGCTTCCATGATCCAGCACCTACAATGAACATTTCCTTGGGACTAAATTATCCATCAACCAACATGAGACATACCTTTATTTTGGTTAATCTCAAAAGAGCCCTGCTCTGTGAGATTGACACTAATTTCTGGCTTTCCCCACAGTCTTTAACATGAAATGTCTGCATCATTGACATTTAGGAAAAGATGGAAAAACATCAGAGATGGAAAAAAATCTACTGGCCCACCTGTTATTCCCAACTGGTACAGCGTAGGTGTTCAAGGTGAGGAGAAAATGAATTCAAGTGGTCAATAAAGCACACACATATAAGGGGTGATATCTGCTTCAATTTTCAGCCCAAGTTGCAAGATGTTCCCACACTTGACAACACAAGCTCAATGTACTGTACCTTAAAGATGAATTTGCCGGTGGACTGATACCCGGCTAGGGTGCAAAGGAGGGCAAGACTCCTGGGCCCGCTCTTGATTCCTCAGCTCCGGCTTGAGAAGGTCACAGATGCTGTCCTGAAATCGCATTGTTGCAGCCCTTATATATGTAGTGGAGGAGTTACAGAAATCCCTTAACCTTTCAAGGTCATTTGAGCCAAATTAGTACCAGAACCAGACAATATCTTTCCAGGGACATTGTAGCCTTCCCTCGTGGTGAGAGATGGCTCTAAACAAATCCCATCTCTTACTACCCCACCCGTCCCAGAGAAGGCGAGCTTCTGTTTTGGCAGGTCCCACGAGAACTATGACTTGGCCCAAACCAAGAGAGATGATTTAGAGCAAGGGCTGGATTATCCATGTGCCCTATTCCCCTGTGATTTGTGAAAAGCCAGTCTCTGCACCTTGGTGTGTAAAGGGGACTGGAATGGTGGGACGAGTCACACTTGGGTGTAACATTACAGGAAGACTTAGAGAGGCATCTGGTTCTTTGGAGCCATTAATCCTTGAATGGAATCTGGTGATGACATATCACGGTCTGCTGAGTTCTCTACCAGTTGGAGCAGGAATTGACCCTGGTGAGTGTTTTCCAATAAAATGCATCCAAGTGAGATCGACTTCTCATTTTAGAGTGGCTCTTATCCCATGGTGGAGAAGCACATTTTGTCCTTAGGAAAAACATTTAGAATCCTCACTCATCTGATAACAGAAATAGCTTTGGTTTTTATCAAATCCTTTGACTATGCTACTAATTGCATACCCATTACTTGGTTCAGTGGAGTATAAATTTATAACTTACATTATACATGACTACCTCATCTAATATTGATACTCAGATTTTATCCTGCTGAAGTGATATTTAATGTTGAGTCTGTAAAAGTATTTTAATAGGCCCATTTACATTAAGCTGGATGCTTTATTTAATAGCAGAACCAAATTTTATAGATGAAATTTTTTTGGGTAAGGAAAGAGAGGAGTTAACTCTGAAACTATCATGCAGGGTCCCACCTATATAAAAGCAACAATTTAAAGAGAGAAAACTCAATAAAAACATTTCTAAGGAGTATACTGAAATCACAAAAGTGAAGTTATATACATATTTGTATATTTCCACTGAAGAAAATATACTGAAACTTGAATAATTAGCACCTAACAGACCACTAGATGTTAGTTTTCCTTCCTTCCTTCCTTCCTTCCTTCCTTCCTTCCTTCCTTCCTTCCTTCCTTCCTTCCTTCCTTCGTTCCTTCCTTCCTCCTTATTTATCTCCCTCCCTTCCTCCCTCTTTCCTCCTTTTCTTTCTCTCCTGTGAAAGTTATTTTTGCTACAAGTGATGTCTCATTGTTTATTGAAGCCATTAGCAGGACTCCAAGAGAAAGGTTATCAAACTATTTCTTCTGTGGTGTTACTCCACTTGGCTTATAGCAATTCTGTAAACAATCTACTAATACAGAATCTTACGCAATCAACCATTTATTCCACTTTAAAGAATGAGCATTTATGCTCTTCCTAGTTCAACTAAGTTTTTAATCTATAAGTATAGGGTTGTCCACAGTTTGATCTTGACTTTATCTTTGATTTGATTGGGAAGACAGAGACCACATAGCTAGGAAGTGGCAGAATTAGGATTTGAACCCAGGCTGTCCGATTCAAGCTCTTCCTAAAGTGAGATGTTCAGCACACGTCTCTGCCCAAGCCCCAAGCACCTCCACTATTCATTCCCCGACCAATAAAAGGAGTTTACCTGAAAGAAGAGACAATAGAACATGTGCTCAGGTCGGAGCCCCTGCAGGACCCTACTTCTGGAAGGAGGAGCAGAGGCTGCAAGAGCTGCCCGTGGCCCAGGCTCCCAATGGGTGCAGGAGCAGAGCGGGGAACTCAGGTAAGAGAAGCCTCTCAGATCCCACGGGGGAGCTGGTTTCAAGAATTTAAGCAGGGATGTCCCCCGCATAGCTTTTAGGACAAAAGCACACTTACTCAATGGAAGCTATTATTACCATTATCATCAACACAGTTATTACTACCCCGAGCCTTTCTTCTTTCTCCTTATTTTGAAACAGGGAATTTATGCCACTTCACTTTTTGAATTTTATTTTTTTTCCTTCCTGAGGTTGCCCCCCACAAAAGAAGGGGAGCCCCAGGGATTACTGAACATCTTCACACTTAGTGGTGGTGTACACACCAACTGGGCTCTGGGACCCAAGAGATTATATGCAAAGGAGAGGAAAAAAGAAACAGCACAGACAGACAAAATATCCTGTAGAAGACAATCAGGTCTATATTTACTTAAAAATGTTATCTGCCAAACAGGCCAAGGAAAGCCTCCCCGGTGATAGGCACTGCTGTATACTAGAAACCTAACCCTTCTCCTGAGTACATAGCCCTGGGAATTTCCAGCTCCAATCTACATTCACAGATGAGCCCCAGGAAGATTCCTTCTGGGAGCAGAGAGTCTGGGAGGGTGAGAAGGGGGTGATAATGATACAGCTGCAGGCCTGTGCAGGGAGGGAGGAAACAGGAACCAGTAAGTAGAGAGTTGGAGGTCTCTTGCTGGATGTTTCATTCCAAACTTCCTGTTTTCACATCTTGCATTGCAAGATATAATACCAGTGGCCTGGACACGTGTGATATGTGGATAGCATAATAAAGGGATCCAGCCCTTTATTCCCATCATCATGGAGCTAGTCTGAGGTCCAGTTCCTTTGTGTGTGTGATGACCAGTTCCAGTATAGCTGTGGGGTATGTGTATTAAAATCTGTACCTGGGATTTGTTTTAATCAAGTGTAGTAAGACATGTAGGTGTGGAAATGACTATCATGAGGGAAGAAGTTCATATTTACACATCCCTAGGAAGAAGAGGTACGGCCTTTGTGTCATGCAGGGCCATGTGGCAAGCACCAGTGTTGGTCAGGAAGCAGAGAGAGGCGAGAGGGGAGGGTGTGGCCCAGAGCCTTTTTTGGGGTTTTTGCAGGAAGGGATGGGTATGGCGACCCTAGGATTGACAAATTTGAATGACTTTGGTGCGCTCTGGGCCACTGGGTGATCTCTTTTGCCTGGTTCCTGGTCCTGGGTGGTTTAAGGGAAATACTGGCTTGGTGTGGAGAGTCTGGGGAAGGAGTTAGTGGGGTACGGGCTCTGGGCTGGTTGATTTGCATATCATAGGAGTGCCTGCAGTGAGTCATGTGCTATCTCCAGGAATTAGCTTGCCCTGGAGGGGCAGGTTCTCCAGGATCAGGGCTCCAAATGCCAGTGTATACAGAATATGGAAAATAAGACATTAGAGTTGATGCGGTCTGGATAACAGCTGGTTAGGCCCTCCTGGCTGGCACCTCACTGTCATGCTAGCTCTGTCTAAGGCAAAGTGTGCCAGCCCTGCCCCCCAACCAGCTGTGTCCTGGATGCAACTGGCCACTGTGAATGGTCAGGGGAAGCCGGCCATAGCTGTGTCTAGATAAACCGCCACCTGGGCAGAGTCTGACTCTGACTCTGAGACCCTCCTGTCTTCTTCTCAGGCACCCTCCCAACCTTCATTTCTGTTTCCTCTGGCCTCCTCCTGATGGCCGTGCCTTCCCAGGTGGAGACACCTGGGGCCTCTTTTCTCTCTCAGTCACTAAACCCTGCTGATGGTGTCAGCTGGGTGACACAGATGTCTAGGGGTTCTAGTTAGGCCCCTGGCTCTGCCTGGGCTTGTAACCTTGTGGAACTTTCTCACGTGTGCACAGGTGCATTGGTTTTTCTTAGAAGGTTCATAATTTTCCTTAAATCCTCAAAGGGCTCCATGACTCTAAGAGGTGTACTATTAACAACAACAGTAATGATAACACCAAGCTACTCTTGCATATGTCCTATGTTCCAAACACTACTTTAAGCCCTTTGTAAGTATTAACTCTTCTCATCCTCACACAACCTTCTGAGGCACAGCAAGGCTAAGGAACCTGCTGTCACACAGATCAGCAGTGTGGCTGCAGACCTGGGAGCAGCAACTATGGCCCTCAGGCCAAATCTGGCCCACTGCCCTTTTTGAAATATGAATTAATCGCCCAGGTGCGGTGGCTCACGCCTGTAATCCCAGCACTTTGGGAGGCCGAGGTGGGTGGATCACAAGGTCAAGAGATCAAGACCATCCTGCCCAACATGGTGAAACCCTGTCTTTACAAAAAATATAAAAATTAGCTGGATGTGGTGGCACATGCCTGTAGTCCCAGCTACTCAGGAGGCTGAGGCAGGAGAATCGCTTGAACCCAGGAGACAGAGGTTGCAGTGAGCAGAGATCGAGCCATTGCATTCCAGCTTGGAGACAGAATGAGACTCCATCTCAAAAAAAAAAAAATTAATTAACCCATTAATTTTACTGTTACAAGATACACATAACATAAAATTCACCACTTTATCCATTTTAACGTGTACAATTCAATGGTGTTTGGTATATTCACAATGTTGTGTAACTGTCATCACTATATGATTCCCCAACAATTCCATCATCCCCAAAGGAAGCCCTGCACCCATTAAACAGTCAGCCCCCATTCCCTTCTCCCCCCAGTCCCCAGCAATCACTAATCTGCCTTCTGTCTATGGATTTACCTGTTCTGGATATTTCATATACATGGAATCATAAAATATGTGACCTTTAGTTTCTGGCTTATTTTGCTTAGCAGAATAGTTTCAAGGTTCATTCATGTTGTGGCATATATGGGAGCATCATTCTTTTGGTAATTAAAAATATAAAGTGACTGTGATCTGTTAAAATAAGTTTAGCCTAAAGCTGTCTCCTTACTTATTTCAGATTGGACCTAAATATTTCTTCATATACAGTGAACTGTTTACTAACTGGATGTGTGAACAGACTGTGAACTACTCTTGTACCAATTGCTGTGTTTCGGCAAATCACAGGCGGCCAACTGTTCAAACCATGTTCAAATAAGGCAAACACCAAGCTGTAACCCATCCAGCTGTTTCTGTACTTCACTTCCTGTTTCTGTCCATAAATCCTCTTTGACCACACACAGCACCACAGCTGCTCTCAACCTATTCTGGTTCAGAGGGGCATGTAGGGAGTGGTGGGGGAGCTGCGCGATCTGTGAATCAGTCTTTGCTCAATTAAACTATATTAAATTTAATTTGTCTAAAGTTTTCTCTTTTAACAGGTTCATACAAGTGAGTGGCCCTGAAGCTTAGTGTCAGTAGTTCCTCACTAAACAGCTTCTGGTGCAATTATTTCTGTAGGACCAACTCCCCAAAGTCGAATTGCTGCCTCAATGCGCGTGGCCCCTCACATTCTGGGCAATGACATCAGACAGCCCTCCGGAAAGGCCATAGCCCATTATTCTTTCACTCTTTTGTAATTAAAGAAACTATTTTTCAGAGGGTAACTTGCAATATGTACCAATATTTTACATAGCAAGTTAAC